GTATATCATAAACAGACATGTGTATTAAATCTTATAACTAAAGCTAGGCACACATAGTACAAAGTTGGCAGGACCTCAACACTCGCAGAGATGACGCTTCACTCTGCATTCTCTATTGCATAAATCACAGAGAGTGCTCCGAGGAATTGTTCGGACTAATACCAGCCCCAACTTTCCGTCATCGTTCCACACGCCAAAATTGTCTTCCTCATCACCTGAATAGTTGGCACTCCACTACTGTGCGCTTTTCGAGACACTTTTTGCCCCGCACAACCAATCTGTGAAACGGGTTATCGTCTGCGGTATTTCCGGACCAATACGACCTTCAAACCTTCAAGAAAGCGTACTCCTTCCTAAAAGGCCGGCCACGCGTTTTTGAAGCCTGAGTTGCAGACGTTCATGGGCGGTGATGGTCACTTTCCATCAGGTGACCCGTCTGCTCGTCTCTCTAAAATTCTTGACGCATCTTTTTAATATACACCAATAACTGGGTCTTTCAGTTCCACAAGTTGTTCAGGTTCGAAAACATTCTTTCTTCAGGTCCATTTACGCCAGGCAGACTAAAAATATCTTTTCAATTAAAATACCAAATATCCGCAACCTGCTGGCCCGCCCATTTTCAAATATTTTTTTGCGTGCTTTCTCGGGAACACCGGGTCTGACTGAAAACGGGATGTATGGTCACGTTACCTGTGCATTACTTTTAACCGACTTCAAAAAGGAGGAGGTTATCAATTCGGATGTTTGTATTTTTTTTATGTATATTCGGTCATTAAGTAACTCCGTCATATGTGGACGGATTTTCAAAATTCCTTTTTATTTATTTTTTAATTTAAATAGTTCCATTTAAATTTCATATAGATCCTGATGATGACTTTCGCAGACAGACAAAGGAACTCCTAAAAAAATGACAGCAAATAACTACTAACTAAGATTGCTGCTAGGTTGTTAATGCTCTTTGTTAATATTGTTTGAAGGCGGTTAAAAAAAAATTAAGAAGGATTTTCTAGTACCATCTAGTATAGTTAAGAAAGATGTACCAATTACTGCCTATCATGGTTTAACTGTATCCCTATTGCAATGTTAACTGATTTTTTAGGCCAATTGTACGTGAGAGAGTCGGGAAGGAATAGGCTGGCTCGACCGTAATGATGCTCATGAAAACCGCTGTTGAGCAATTCATTCGTTGCTTTTCACCGAGTGAGTGAGGTTACTGGAGTCTAAAACCTCTCTTACCCGGATTCTGGGGAGAAGACTCAAAGGGTGGCAATGTACTTGTGACTCTTGAAATGCAGGAGTTCGTGGGCGATAGTGGTTACACTATCAGGTTAATATATATAGTTATATACGTTAAAAAAAACTTAACAGGTGCAATATTTGCATTTAAAGCTCAAAAAACGATGCATCACATCTATGTTCAAAACAACGGATCTCGGGATCGATCCTCTCCCTGGAGCATTACAGCTTTACAGAAAGAGACCACTGCACACCAGCCCAGTCCTCCGTATACTGGGTGGAGTCCAAGTCAGTCGCGTAGTGCTGGCATTGTGCTGTCTTCTCGCGTCCGATCCGACTCAGGTACCCATATATAAAAACACGTCTATACACACGGCTACAACGGTTCTGCGCAGAAGTGTTAAATGCATGGCTCATGGCATTTTACAGCATATATTATCCCTCAAAACAATATAATCTAATACAAAAACAATCACTAAGATTATGATTTGCGTTTTAATTTATTGATTTATTTTGAGTCTCTAACAAAAGATATAGATAGTAATATCACAGGAAATAATTACAATTAACAGTGAATAATCCAATATTAGGGGTTAAAGTATGAAATTGCCGATTTGTACTGAAAAACTGGTACCTTTTTTTAAGATGTAACATACTCGTATTTATTTATTCAAAATATTTAACCTCATTATCTATACATTGCTGCCCTCTACTAGTAAACAGAAGGTTATTTATGCCTTTACGATAGAACTCTGGGGATCTAGATTCAACAAACGTGTAAAAGCGTTTTGTACGGCCTCCTGGGTTTTTGTTTATCACGTAGTAAATTGTCCAAATCACAAAAACACGAGTACGGTCTGGTGAGTACTTAGGATGACGTATGGTTTCTAAGTGCATCTCCTGTAGAATTACAACGGTTTCTCGTGCAGTGTGAGGTCTTGCGTTATCGTGGAGCAATAAGTGAAGTATTATAATATCGTGAAGATTTTGAAGGAGTTTAATTAACGATTCGGGGCTGTTTCACTGCCAGTTTCGCCATCATTGTTCGAAGTCCGGCACAGTAAATATCTGATGTCATTGCCTGACCAGACCTGAGAAAGCTATAGTGAATAACACCAAGAAAAAACCACCAATGAGTTACCATTACCTTTTTGTTGGTAAGTTTGGCTTTTCTGCATTGTTGCAGCATATGACCTGGGGTCAGATATTGCATTTTCCGCTTACAGTTATTGTAAATAATCCACTTTTCGTCACATACCAGAATTCGATCTAATATTTCTTCGTTTCTGTACAGATTCAACAACTCAACACAAGTTTCAATACGCATTTTTTTCTGCAGACCAAAAATCATGAGGCACCCATTTTTCATATGTTTTATCTTTTTGATTTGATGCAATTTGATTTGATGCAAATGAGTCAATATTGTAGGTACGGTAACGTTAAACCATGCCGCTAATTAATGGGTAGTTTGACTCGGATCGGCTTCCACCATCTCCGTCGTTCGTTCTTCAAGTCGAAGTTTCCCTTACATAAGCGTTTAAACCAAAAACGCACGGTGCGTTCATTAGCAGTCTCCTCTAGTTTATTCTGCTGCGTTAGTTCCGTGTCGGAACTCGTATTCAAAAATGACTCTGATTTTCGAAGTTTCCATCCTTCACGTCTAAGCTCAATTAAAAAAACAATTGACAGTCGAAAATCGATTGTTGCACATTTTTAAAAGAAGAACCTCATAGGTATCATGTGAAAAAAGTTGCACACAAAAATCTCACACCATCATCATCATCAACAGCCTTTAATAGTCCACTGCTGGACATAGGCCTCTCCTTAGAATGAAGGTTTTGGCCTACTATACCACGCTGGCCAGGCGGGTTGGTATAGGGTTTGTGTCAAGTTTTCCGTCTTTTTGCAGTGCTGGTGTCCTGCGTTGTTTTGCGCCCTTAGTCGGTTCTTACGACACCCACGGGATGAATTGGGGTAGTGACATTCCGTATTCTTAATCCGTCACTACACGGACTTGAATCGGTTTACACCATGACGGTTTTATGTCAATGCAAAGTATCTATTTCTATACAATGGCAATTTCATACTTTAACCCCTATTATAATTGCAGTATTTAAATATCTATTGTTTGCAGAAAATCGAGACTGTTTCTATGCCAAGTAGATGCCTTATGAACTGATTATGTCATAATTGATGCGATTTATAGAAACAGGTTTACTTCAACACTACTCCATTAGAGATACCTCTTATTAGTGTAATTATATACTAGATATGAAAGGATAATCTTATTTACAAAATCCTCGTGTCACAATGTTCGTTCCCGTACTCCTCCGAAACGGCTTGACCGATTCTCATGAAATTTTGTGTGCACATCGGGTAGGTCTGAGAATCGGCCAACATCTATTTTTCATACCCCTAAATGATAAGGGTGACCCACCCCTAATTTTTTTTTGTTTTGCAATACAACGTTTGCCGGGTCAGCTAGTATCATCTAGAATTGTCATATTTGTAATAGACTTCGTCCAAAGGCGGGTTTTGCTTTTGGAGTGTATTTATATAAACTATACATACATAGTTTACTACATACATAGTTAACTACGTTCGGCATGTGCTGCTACTATGTGTGGCAACCCTTACGGGTAGTTGGCGCCCTGAAATTTCCTACAATAATCATCCTACAGAACTTCGATATCGAAATATTTGGAGTGTGGAGTTTTGATGGCAGTCACTCTACGTAAAAGATCGGAGTTCAGCCGTGTCGTAGTAGACTGTAAGCCAATCTCAACTTAGTTTGGAAAAGAGGCTCCTAGGAATGTGTATGTATACTATGTATGTATGTTTGGCACGCTCTGTAGCGTAAACGGCTTGATGGGCTTTTGCATGAGTGTTGCCGTTAATTCGTCTTAATTGTGAGTGTGACACTAACTTTATCAAGATTATAAAAAATGAAATAAATGGTGACATTTTGTATAGCTCTATTTCTGTTGAGGTTAGGCCTTTGATCATCTCATTCGTTCGGTGAAATGCAAAGAGTTTCTTAGCACCGATTTTCTGTAAGACAATTGTATCTGGTTTTGTATTTTCTGTGAGGCGAGAAGGATTTCGAAACTCTTTATCTATTTGCAGGTATCAGGTCAGGTCCTGATGACTGAATCCTGTGGAGATCGAGGGAACTCTTCAAATATTACAACCAAAACCATAGTGATTTGGATATTTTTCAGTAAAGGAACTCGTGAAAATTTGATTTGGTTGGTAAACAGGTTGTTCTTGTGCCATTGCATTGTATAGTTGCAATTTGGCTATTCTTATTATTTGAGTGATGTATATTGACGGGCCTGTTGGTGTAGTGGTTAGTGACCCTGACTGCTAAGTCGGAGGTTGTGGGTTCGATTCCCACCCAAGACAAATATTGTGTGATGAACACGGTCATTTGTTCTGTGTCTGGGTGTAATTAATCTATAATATGTATGTAATTAAAAATATATGAGTATGTTCTGGTTGATCACTAACAAACAAATCTTGGTCTGATTATAATAAAGTTAATTTTGTATTTGTATTTTTACTTTCTACAACAATAAACACAATTTCTCTTTCAAAAATCTTCATACGTTTATTTCAATTAAAAATAACTGATTAAAAAAAAAGAAAATTCTCAATTTCATTTCAAAAACACTTTAAAGATCCTAACCAAAATCCATTGGTACAACCTTATTCCCAAGTGAGCGAATCTTGATTATCCAAAAGCGTCGAGCTGAATTCTTCTTCTATCTCACTTTCTTAATCTCATCTCCATCTTCTCTATTACCGTAGACAAAATCAGTTATATACCATTGAAGCTTATAGCTCAAATTGTGTAAAATAAAACAGGATACCAAGAACATAATGAAGCATGGTGTCCCGTAAATCATATTTAGTAGTGGGTATGGAAACTGGCCCGATTCGAATAGTGTTAGAAACAATCTGGAAATAAAAGAAAGAAGTTTATACGCGGAAGAGTCATGCTTCTGTGTAATACCACGGCCTCACAGAAAACCTTCTTCCTTTTCATCCTGTGATTAAATTTACCCCAGTCCCCGCCAATCTGATCGAAAACCCAGGTAATTCAAACGTTAACCCTCGCAAACATAATTATATAAACAATTTTGTTTTAAAACTTTTTACTAATTAATATTGTATAGTACAAAGAAAAGGCAATACAAAAATAGAAATAAAAGAAGAGATAGTTAAAAATAGAAGTTACTTACACAGCTATAAATGTAACGTTATGAACGTTTAAAACGGTCAAATTCAAAAGATGTGACGCAGGCAACTTTCTTGGAAGGCAGACTGCCTCCCATAATACTACGGGTACTATAAAAGTGTGTATCACATGGTTTGATATCCACGGCAATAATTTTTGAACTGTAAGCGGCATTAATATATTTGGACTGTAGGCGTACAGAGACCAGAATAAAATGCATACACCCTGAAAAATAAAATAAACAAGAAATTTGTTAATTTGTATTTAAAAATCTTTAAAATTACTGAAGTGATTTAAACAATACTTTCACAGGTCGCTGCTGAGAGTATGTTTAAAAATGTAGGATATGCATAGGACAAGTCTGTATTTAACATCAATATTAATTTTTCTAAATAGTTGGACCGAGATTAGGTACTTGTGGAACGCCTCTAGCAATAGTTACTTTGAAAGAAAATTTTCACACTTATGTGAAAATTTTGTAATGTATGACTAAAATTCACAACAACAAGATTTAATAAAAAAATAATTTATACATAACGCATAGGTTTTCTGGAATTACAATATCATCAACGCAATCGAACGCTTTCACCCTGCAAATAAGAAAAGTAGTGTAAATTTGTCGACACTAAGGGTTTTTGTCGACACATTTTCTTCATGTTATACCGTTCGTTATCATGATCAACTGAACTAAAATATTTGAAATAAGAGACTATTGGAATTCAATTGAAATAAATAAATAACAAACTATGATATGATTAAATTACGGTCCACCTGAGGGCAAGTGTCTACGGCTGTCCGTAGATAACTGCAACTCAGGTCTTGTACATTTCATGTACTATAAAGAGTACCTTTTTGTCTCTACTTATCCACCCATATTCACATCAGGTCACATACCAAGGAAATTGGAAACAAAATAGCAGAGAACAGTAAATCTCTCCCTCCTCTCAGGGTATTCAGCAAGGACGTGTCGTTGCCTTCGTTGGATAACGATAATATGTCACAGGATAGTCCCAATATTGCGTAAAAACATTGTGTGATCTGAAAAAAATATTACGACTTAAATATACAACAAATCAATTGTTGCTTCTTTCAAAGGAATTCAGTTATTTCGGTTATAAATGAAATGAAGCAGGGCTTTATTGTATTCTTTTACAATATACACGTGTATTTTGGTTTAGATATATTCGAGGATAGTGAGAAATATCTTAAGAAAAACTGAAAACAGACTTTACAGTGAAGATAATATTAACCTGACTGAAAATACAAGCCTTGTCGGAAGGTAACGTATTTAGTTATTTTTTTTACAATAGTTGAATTGACATTTAGTTTTCCCAAAGTTTTTAAAAAGAAAAAAAAGTCAGTGACTACGGTTGACTTGAATATTAGTGAATGTAGTTAGAAAAGAAAATATTGACAATTGTTCTAAAATGTGCTACTAAACAACGTGAGAACTTTGTATTACGGCAGTAATAGACCAGCAGTTCGAATCGACCAGTCTTCCCTAGATGGCGTTGTATGTGTGTAGAATTCACTTGCAATATTTTCGTTTGTATTGTTTCAAGTTTTTTTCATTTTTCTTTTATTTAACCAGTAAAAAAATGTAAATATTTACCGTATTCCAAAAAGTTAGCATTCGAAACTGGTATTTCCAAAAATAACCCACATGGGGATCCTTTAACGCTTCGTCTTTGTATATGTTTACCATATAAATGGCATTTAGGGTGTGCATAGCAAGCGTGACGATGTAACCGAACATTCGAACGTACTTCGGGTCCGAAAAGTGCCTAGAAAATATTATCATTTTAAATTACATATTATTTATTAAAATATTAAATACAGCTTGTATTGTAATCCATTAACAATTTCAACATCATCAACAGAGCAGTCCACTGCTAGACATAGGCCTTTCCTTAGAAAGGAGGTTTTAGCCATGGTTATACCATGCTGGCATGACGGGTTGGCATGGGCTTTGTTTCAAGTTTTCCTTCTCTTCGCAGTGCTGTTGTCCTGTCGGCTCCTACGACACCCACCGGATGAATAGGGGGTGGTGAAACTCCATTTTCTTAAACCGTCACCACACGGAGAGGAAATTAACAATTTATGGTTTTTATAGTTTTGATATCTTCAAATAACGTTAAATGTAAATGATTTGACAATAGTTAGGTATGACGTCACGCTATAGTATTTCATACAAAAATGTACCGCGTCCTTTGTTTTGACGTTTAAAAAAGATACTGATTTGACTTGGCAGTCAGACCTCATTAAAAAACTGTGGTCATGATGTAGCCGCTTTGAAGTCAGTAATTCTTAAGCCGATAGTTAAAAAGTATGTTAATGAATCTAAAGACATAATGGGACGTGAGAAAAAAGGAACAAAACTCCTTTTTTTTTGGTTGGCAATGTTCATCACCTTGGTACGACGTAAACATCACTAATGAATTTTATAATTATAACAATACACCTAATGGTTAACTTTAAAAATAAGTAATTTAGCTTCTGAGGAAATCTATAACTTGATTTTATTACCTTTTATATACCTCGCTAATCCCACAGGAATGTGGTTAATCCAAGGTGTCAGCTACGACCATACCAAATTCCAACAAAATTTATCCAGCCGTTTGAGTGTAATTTTTCACATTCTTAACAAACATACAGACACACACACTCACAAAATTTCGCCTTTATGATATTAGTTTGATTATCTTCTCTACTCAATGATCAACATAAAACTCTATTTTCAACTAGTTGGGAAAATTTTAGACTTAATAGGGGTTTACATTTTTGAACCGTTTGGGGTCGAGACGCTAGGGTCATGGGCTCCGAGTGCTCGTGCTTTGTATAAACTATATAGCTAAGCAAATGATCGACAATTCTCGTGATCAGAATGCGGGCCATTTTCTAGTACACAGAATAAGCATTGCAATTCCACGTGGCAATGGTGGCAGTCCTTTGGGAGCCAGTTGGCGATGATGCGGAGGATTTTTTTATGCTTGTACGTAAATAATGTCAATATTTTACTTGTATTATAAGATATTTTTTAGTTCACTTACAAGCCTATTAATAATTATGTAATTTTAATATTTTCATTAGAAAAACAGTGAGACACAAATGTAGTCATCATAATAATAATTTAATCTAACTAACATAGTCAAGCGACTACCTGAAACACAGGTCTCACACCTAGCTCCGGCCGTTGGCAAAATATTTTTTTAATATTTTGTTTTCACCTCTTTATATTCAATCTTGCACATTTTAGAATAGTCATATATGTACTAGTTTTATGTTAGCTTTAGTAACAAACTTTATATAAGAATCTAATGACAATACGATGAAAATCATATACAAAATGTAACCTAGATTTTATTCTGATTTTGCAAATATATATATACATATACATATATATACATGCAGTGCTTTTGTTCTGAGTAGTTTCCTCCCTTAGTCGGCTCTTACGACACCCACGGGATGAATATGGCTGGTGACACTTCGTATTTAGTCCGTTACCACATGCGTAACCTTACTTACCTGCTTGCCCTACGTGACATGATTCTCACAAATAAAATAAAAATAAATATTTTTTTAAACAAAAATAAACTTCAAAGGGATCTTAATTAATACACTTTTTGAAATACGTTTACACTTCATGGATGCTTTTGTCTGAAATGAATCTTTGAGGACAAACGTGTATAATTTATTACTTTTTCTAATGAGTTTAACTTGGCTAAGGTTTTATCCATACTAATCCTAACTAATATTAAAAAGGAGATTGTAAGTTTGTTTGATGTTTTTTTTAAAGACACCTTCTTTCACACATCAACAGCCTTTACTAGTCCACTGCTGGACATAGGCCTCTCCTTAGAAAGGAGGTTTTGGCCTACTACACCACGCTGGCCAGACGGGTTGGTATAGGGTTTGTGTCAAGTTTTATTTCTTTTTGCAGTGCTGGTGTCCTGCGTTGTTTTGCGCCCTTAGTCGGCTCTTACGACACCCACGGGATGAATTGGGGTAGTGACATACCGTATTCTTAGTCCGTCACTACACGGACACCACCTTCTTTAATATGAATATATCCTGTGACGCGGGGGACTTTAAAATCATACATGAAACAGACACAAGGATCACTCAGACTCAGAACAACAATTTGTGGATCACACAAATTGTTTTCCAATGTGGGAATCGAACATACCACACTCAGATGAGTAGGTAGCAGCGAGGACCACTTCCCCATCCATGCAGTCACTGACAATGTATATAGAATATTTCAGAGGCAATTTTGTGATTGGCATCATAAAGTGGTACAAGCTGTAAATCTCTGGAATGCCCTCCTAGAGAAGAAGTCAAGCTGTCCAACAGCCCATTAAACTTTAAGCTTAGAGTACACAAGCTCTTAGGAGACTCGTTGAAGTAATCATCAGAATTATCGACTTTGTGTAACGTTATTACTTATGCACATATATATATATCTATATAAATTTATACATTATTTAACTATTATATAGAACGTACAACATGTTTTTATGTATACTTATATATTATATTTTTTGAGACAGACATCGACTGGTAATTCATTCGCTAGCTTCAATTATATTTAATTACACCTGCCACACACAGCTCTGCATCAACCAAAGGTTGACTGCAAGAAAATGCCTATGGCATTAAGTCCGCCTTATACAATGTGTTTGCAGGAAGTATTTAATAAATAAAGAACTTGTTGTCGATTGAACTGTTTCGTAAAATTAAATATAAACAAAGTTTTCTATATCGGGCTATACTTTAGTTTAAGACTAGACTTAACTTAAGAGATTTGTTAATTTAGTATATTTGAGTGGATATTATTTTCGTATAATGACTTTCGAGTCGGAATTACATCAGACATTGGCAGTGATGGTGACTGCTTCCATCATTACTGACTCGCTATTAAGGTGTACACCTGCAACCGGGCACTGAAAAAAGTTGTTGTAGCATTAAGAAGGCGGGCAGAAATATATCCAGAGGAGAGGTATTTAAGAGAAAGTTACTGTGTCAAAGTTTGGTAATGTGCAGCGTGCATGAACTTCATATGTCGTATAGCGTGTTCTAGTTGATTCCTTTGTTTAAAATAAATTATATCACTTTAATCATTTTTAATCTCTTAGAGCAAAGCATGAATTCTCTTGCATAATCAATTTCACGTTTTTATTATTTTGATATCTTCAAATCGACCTTAAATTTAAATAATTTGACAGAAGCTAGGTTTGACATCACGTTTTAGTATTTCATAAAAAAGTGTATAAGTGTGTATAATATAAAAGTCTATCGTTTTGATGTTTAATAAAAAGATACTCATTTGACTTGAGTGTCATCTACCCTATTGCCTACTCAAGATAAAAAATAAATGTATTGTTACGTGTTAGGGTTTATTGATTTGGAATAGTAGGTATACCTTCTGACAACTAAGACGACTTTATTACTACTACACTTAAAGACGATTTATTTTCACAACAAAAATTTGTTTTTGCGTTTGCGAACAAATTTGTGCGAATTGATCACTAAGCCTTAATGACGTTTAAACGATACTGAATAAAAGTCCGGAATGAGCGCCGAGGTCGCTAGGTTACTCTTATGTTCGCTTAGACCGCTGCCATGTTTACAGCACTTTAGCTGAGCACAGCACTTTTCCATACTTAATATTTAAGTTCGCAAATATTTAGCTTATGTAAGTAGGTCTAGGTTTCTTATTGTAACCAGTACTGTCTTATTTATTTTAGCTGTGAAACTGGAAGGTAGCTGGTACTTATAGCACAGGATATCCTATTTTAAGTACCAGCAGAACACTAGAATTAAGATTTTTTGTACCTCTTTTGAGAATTCTACTACTATGTACCTACTTGTATATTGTGCCAATAACGAAATTTATTATTATTATTATTGTGGGTAGAAAATGAATAAAATATGACTTGGGGCAATAGCTCAAACTAAATCGTCTCGGCGACGACTAGAAGGCTCACTATTTTCGATCTTATGCATTTTGTTATAAAACTCATTGTTCCGTGTATTATTGTGTTCTCCCTGTATTATTATTAGAATTATTCCTAGACTGCACAGTTACATGAAGTCTCACTTTCTTTCTCGAATTTTCGTGCTATTTCGTGACAGTATTATTGTTGTACTTTACGTTCAATCCCGTTGGTGTCGTAAAAGCCGATAAGGGAGTAAACTACGCAGGACAAGAGCACTGCAAAGACAAGGAAAACTTGACACAAACCTTATACCAACTCGTCTGGCCATAACCTAAGGAGAGCAGGAGAGGCCCATGTACAGCAGTGGACAGTTAATGGCTGTCGATGTTACGTTCAATATGCTTCAGTAATGTTAATCTTTTAAACAGAAAAAAAAACATATGCAGAAATACAATGTTTCTATAAAAACAAATTTCTCACAATAATTACATTTGATCCGTAAACAAAAACAATCTGTTTGCTTGTTTTGTGCTGGCTCGTGAAGGAGGACTGAGGAAAACGTCTATAATTAGCTGTCTTTGAAGAAGACGGTATTTAAATGAGTGTAATCATTTATTTTCATTTATACTTTTTTTTTAAATACAATCTCCCACGTAATAAAATATAATATCTTAAAATAAAATAAAATAGAACAACTAAACAGGTACACCATTATACCTTTCTTCCCAGAGTTAGATGGTTTTTTTTTTAAAAGACAACTCCCTCATTAGGAATATATTCTGTGTCGGGGTGACTTTATAAACATACATGAAACGGACACAAAGAACACCCAGACTCAGAATAACAATTTGATGATTACACACAATGTGGCACTAAGCACAATGTGAACATGTCCCCTTTAGGATGATGTAGTAATGGTATGATGCATGCAGAGAGTATGGTGCAATAAATAGTATAAAAGAGAAGAATAGAATAGAATAATTAAATTTAAATGTAGGCGATAGGCAAACCACATGCATGTATTTGAAGTTTGTCTTGTAACCGACTTCAGAAACAAGAATCTTTCTTTTTTCTTCTTTTATATGTTGATTAAATACTTAAAGACGGCTTTACCGATTTAGAAAATAGTTTTTAGTTTTAACGTTCTTTTAGTTACCATTGTACCTTCAGATCTGGATCTGATGTCAGATCTTCAAATTTCTCTGTTTGAAAGAATATTAAAAAAAGTTCCTACAAATTTGATATTGGTTGAAATGCTAACGAAACACATCAATACACTACTTTTTTTAACCAGGCGCTTGTGTTTTCAATTAAAAATAATTTTGATGTGAACACTGTTATCTCGACTTTTTAATTATAGTTTTCAAACTTTGCAGAATCCTTAACATATAGTCGTTGTATTAATGCAAATTCTCTGTCACTATTAACAAGACAATTATTCTCGATTAATCACTAAAATTTCTCTCATCATCGTTGACAATCGTAGTCCGATTAATCGAATTACGCAATCGAACTGCGATATGCGATTGGACTGTTGCTATATCCATAAGTACGTTATCTCAGAAAAGGCATTAAACAGGGGCAATGTATGACACCAGTATCGTTGAAGTAAGACGGATGATGGTTTGTAGGACAACAGCATAACGGTATAGTCTGCCGCGCCGAGCGGTCGTGGGTTTGTGTATGAGTAATGTATAAGTGGTAATAAAGTATTTTAGAGGATTTTGTATATAAAAATAAGGTAGGAACATGATGTTTTTATTTCTTATTACTGATGGTTTCTCCTCAATGATGTTACTAATCGATGAATTTGGTTTAAATTACTTTTATTTAAGTTCAAAGAATTTATTCTACTGTTTTAACTTTAAAGTAACCCATTTCATACAATGGTCAATGTTCTAGATCATTTAAATATTTAGTAAAATGAAAAACGAGCGTTTATTTACAATGTAACGAGGTAATCTGGACTTAAATAGGCTAATGTGCTAATATTTCTTACATGTGAGGGTAGACTGTTATAATAATAATAATAAATTTATTGGACTTCAATTCCTTTTTTTACAATTGTACAATCCAATAAACATCTTATTACCGTATTAGATGTAGAAAGTAGACCCCGCCATCCAAACTAGGTATTCCTGTAACTTGGAAGACAGTTATAAAGTTGGATACCTTCCAAGTTATGTTCCTTTACCCGCCATTGGTTATTATACTTTTTGACAGAACAAGTAGACTTGCTCGACGAGTGATACGTTTGTTAATATCATTTTTTTTATAAATGATGAGTTAGTGTGAATGGTTTTATTTAGAATTTTCTTGATTACAACACTGGTACTGTAGGTGCAAAGTTGTTTTCAATATAAGTTTTAGTTTTTTCTTAAACGTTGCAGGTCGATGTTAAATACGGTAATTGTTGTACGCTAGTTTTTGTACTACGATCTCAAATTTCAATCATTTTCATTTTCATTTCATTTCATCAATTTCAATCTGTCCTTAAGCCAAGATATTTTCCAGACGTTTTCTGTTCTAACGGAATATTATTTATCGTTAAGGGTTTATGAATTTTGCTCTAAATATTTAAATTTTTAATCGAAGTAAGTTCAGTAGTGAATGTCTAAAAATTGTATTCAACTTTCGCTGTTTTAGCAGTTAGATACGATCAGGAAATTTCTAATGTCGGCTACTGCTTAATATTTTAATTATAATAATTCATTTAGAAAAGTTTTTGTTTCATGATAAAATTATACGGTATCTAGTTTGCTTCATGATACTAGACACTGTATAATTTTGTCAAGTAGCTGAGCTAACTGAAGCTAAAACAAATGTAAAGTTGTAAAATATGAAAAAAAATAACAGAAAAAAATATAAAAAGTAATAAGTATGTACCACAAGTTTTTTTCTCTCGTTGTTTAATAATAGGCTATACACGTATTAATTGTAAAATAATGTATATTTTTGTGTGGGTACCCGAGATTCCGATCAAACTACTATTTAGTTTAAATTATCCGGTATCAATCTGGCTTGTTGAACTAGTGGTTAGTGATCATGACTGCCAAACTAGAGATCGTGGGTTCGATCCCCCGATGAACAAATAATAACGATAATTAATTCTGTGTCTGGGTGTTATTTATGTATGTATTTTGTATTATATGAGTATGTTTATTAGCAGACTGGTTATGGTCCCTACTCGGATGCCTTAGCAACGAATCTGTATATGAATGAATAAATGCTTTTTATTTTTGTTTCTTCCAGAACCATGGTTTGCTTGCTTCGAATTCGTATAATTTTCTACACGACAGTAATATTAATGCATTTGTCTAATGTCTTATATATGACATGGTATGTGACACAGAGCCACTATAAAGATGAGAAGGCACTTATCTTTAAAGACTTGGAATACCGGTTCTTCACAACGTGGAACTTTGTAAGTAATAGTCACTTTCTACGTCAATTGAAAAGAATATTCTTGAAATGCATATATTAATTGTGTTTTGAATTCCGAATGCTTCGATTGTATTCGGAATTCATCAACTATAACCCGGCAACCTCGTGCGCGACCGTCCCGCGGGGTGACAGACAGTGCCGGGGGCGAGGTAGCGCGTCATTCTAGCACACGGCTACACACGAACAGAAGTGTTTCCCTTCCCCGCTACACCACCCGCTACCCGCTGACATCTTGAGTACCTCGTCCCCGCCACCGTCTGTCACCCCGCAGGACGGTCGCGCACGACGTTGATGGACTATAAACCAGAATTAATAACTTGTCATGCGAATGACTTACATAAGTGTTAAAGATAAAAATATTGTATTAATGTAAACTATAACAATACTTCCTTAAACTAATGTAGCTATTGTTTATTCATTTTGCTATTGTTTATTAAACGAACTGTTTTTAAAGTGTACAACATTTAGTATCTATATCTATAAAAGAAGAAACTGACACTGTTTTACTAACTGATGAATTAACGCACAGCTGAAACTGTTGGGTCTAAACTCATGAATTTTTGTACAAATTTTCCTTAGGTGACGTAAGTTTGCAATAAGAAAAGATTTTTAAAATATCTCCTTTTTTTATGTGTGGAAACGTCGGGCCGTCACCCCACCGGTGAATGCGGCGGGGTGGTGTGTAGGAATCGGAACGACTAAAACCACACGGTGTTCCACTCTGCGCCTGTAATTAAAAAATCCCGACATTTTTAAAATATCCTTCCCTAAGGGTGTAAAATAGGGGTTCGCAAACTCGTTGTCAAACTCACAGTAAATACTCTTTATTAAAAGTAATATAAACATTATTACTATTTTTTTTAAACTACCCTTAAAAGGGGTGCAAGTTTGTATGGGGAACTATTTTGTTTTTTAACTTATCGATTCCAAACTCTTAGTATAATTATATTCTCTATCAGAAAAAATAATAAATAGACACCTATTTCTTTTACTTTCAAAACGTAAGTATGTTTGTGACAGAACAATAGACTACTGGATTTGAACGTGATTTGGCACATAGATAGATTATACTCTAAAATAGCACAGAGGCTACATTTTATCTATTGGCAGACTTGTAATTTACGCGAGCAAAGCCGATGGCAATAACTAGTATCATGTATAGTAGAGATACAAGAAATAAAATAAATTTACTTAACGTAAAATGAATAGTCAAAAACATATACCTACCAGCCAACAGTATGCTAAAATGAACCGCTGGAATATGCATAATTTATAAATAAATACATTTTTTTTTTTTTTATTAATTTTTTTTTTTTTTTTAAACAACGCCCGCATTAGGAATAAATCCTGTGTCGCGGGGACTTCACAAACATACATGAAACGGACACAAAGAACACCCAGACTCAGAACAACAATTTGTGGATCACACAAAGTGTCGTCCCATGTGGGGTTTGAACCCACAACACTCGGCGTAGTAGGAAGCGGCGTGGCGACCGCTTAAACCACTACGCCATCCGTGCAGTCAAGATGAAAGATTTGTACGCCTACCTACCCTGCGCCTATTATTTATTGTATTGCTACCACCAAGTTTTTTAAAGTTCTTGTTATTTTCGTGAATGTAGATAAACAAAAACAGGAAGGAATGAGGAATGTATACTCACACCCAAGATAAACCAATGCATGTTTTTATTTTATACTGTTTTTCTTATTTAAATTTTTTAAAAAGACAAATGATAGTAAATAACTCCCTTCATTCACTTACATTGTAAGAAAGCGTAAACTGTAAATTCTCGACGGCTCGAAAATAAACCTATGTATGTGGTTGTTTCGGGCTCATCATTTTCTGTCAAGTTTTTTCATGTTTTAAAATAAATATATATAAAATGTTTTTTACGACTTAAGAATACGGAGTGTCATTGATATTCATCCCGTGGGTATAGTAAGAGCCGACTAAGGGAACAAACTACGTAGGACAACAACAGCAAAGAGAAGGAAAACTTAAAACAAACCCTATACCAAGTCGTCTGATGTATAGTAGGCCAAACCGTCCTTTCTAAGGAGAGGCCTATGCCCATGCGATGATGATGATGATGACCATACATTATAATTAGAAATCCAAACTGTTACAACTCGTAGGAAACCACTTTCTTCTTCCTTTATAGTTAAAATTTTATATTCCTCGTTTCAGGTACTGCAAGTAGTTTACAGTTTATTAGGTCTAGCGTGTGATACTTTGCTGCTAAAGAATTCAAGAAAGAAGAATTATCAACTGCCAGAAGCAATGAGCGACTTTAGAGAGGTTGTTTACTCTGGCCTAGTGTGGCCCAGCAGTTTAGTAAGTAAATTTTATTCTAATTAATGACAAAGTTCATGCTCTGTTTATCTATAAGCAGATATCATTTTATAAATACGTTTTTCTCTGACGGCTTTCTATAAATACTAGGACTGTAGAAGTCGATCAGATGGCGTTAGATATGTCTTCGTTAGTCATAAAACAAATACGTACTATATTTTGTAGTTTTTTTGCAATTATAGCCATATATATTTATAAAATAGCATCACCTAAACGCTTTGAATTTTAACAATGAACTGATCCTGAATCGCGATATAACAATTCTCCTAACACATTATGTGCCTAACACATTTTAATACAGTCAACTTGGCCTCACTTTTAACACAAATCTTAGCACAGCTAAAGGGATAAGAATGACATTGTTAATGTTATTCTTATAATGTGAAGTATTTTCACATAAAAAAAAACCGGGCAGGTACGAGTCAAACGCGTGCGCCGAGAGTTCCGTACCTACCCAGTATTTACCAAAATTGACAATTCTAGGTCAACCGGAAGTACCCTAGAGGTTTTGGGTCGAAAACCTATATGGTAGTTCCCGTTGACCTAGAATCACGAAATTTGGCAAAAAGCAACGTCTTACAGCACAAATAAAGGTATAATTACAAAAAATATGAAAAGTTAGAAATTAAGGTAAATTTTGGGACTTAGAAGTTTTCGCAAAAATCGCTTGATTTTTATACACCTAATAGGGACCATAGACCTGGTATTAATTTCAACTTGCTAGGGCTACCCGTTCCTAAGAAAATCGGTGGTGACACACGGACAGACGGACAGACGGACAAGAAAGTGATCTTATAAGGGTTCCTTTTTTACCTTTTGAGGTACGGAACCCTAAAAATAGGGTAGGTAATAAAACTTTACTTGCAGTTCGATTTTGTCAAATATCAATTCTAAAGTTAAGGGAATCTAGTACATTTATCTGTACATCCAAGTGCATGTCATAAAATGACGTGCACTCGGATGTACTCATACGTCATAGAATGACTCCCTTCTGTGTGTTGTCAGAATTAAACGATATCATAGGCTAAGCGCGTGACTTGCACCAGGGACTTCATTTCTAGGGTATACCTGGTTCCCCGGCTATTAGTACCCGAGACGGTCAACACAGCAGGTAGCGATCCGGGCTACTGCGTGCCTTCAAAGTGGTGGGGGACATTTTGATCAATTATTGTAAATGTACATTTGTTATTAAATAATTAATACTTGTTATTTTGTTTATCTTTGCTAATCACTGTAAATATCTAAAGAAAAAACCAAATCGTTATGAATTCACTACATGCACAAGCCTATGTTCCAACAACAATATTTTTTAAACCAATTGTCATAGAATCGAGTTTTTGGTATCATTATTTAGGTCAGCTTACCATCTCTGAGACACATGCATAGTAAGGGATAGTTCACAGGGGTATTTTTTGTAATAGCCTTGAAATACTAAAAAAAAATGTTAATTTTGACGTAAAGTTGATCTTTTAGCATTTATTTTAATATGATACAGCAATTATTAAAATTATTTGAGTTATTTATCTGATTGCTAATACTTTTCCGTTATGGGAAGTTTTTGTTTTACGATAATCAGACATTAAACTCCAAAGTTACATAACTTTTAGTATGGACGCTACGAAAAAGTCAACCAAAATACAAAAATGATACCTACACCTGTAGAATGATTTTAGTGATAAAATAGAGCAAACTATCACCCCCTAAAGTTTGTACAGTCCGAACGAAGACACATTGTATAAGAGATTTCCACGTATATAGTCACTCATCACGATATCTCTGGAACCATTAGAACTAAAGACTTGAAATTTGGTAGGAATATTCTTTTCACCGAGTAGAGGTCAGCTAAGAACGGATTTTAAGAAATTCAAAAAAATAAAATAAAAAAAATGTAAATAGCAAAACAACGTTTGCAGGGTCAGCTAGTTATATATAAGCAAAGAATGTTGTTTGATTATTTTTATTTGGATGATAATGTTTTAATAAGTAAATACTCAGCTTGTCAATTCTTATAGCGCGATAAAGGATTAGTTTTCCAAAGACAATTAGCTAGTTACCGCAACACAGTTATCTAAAATATGTTATTGCTTCCAGGTTGTGTTCTCAGTATTTTGGAGCGTCTACGCCTTTGACAGAGGGCTCATCTACCCAGAATTTCTCGATACAGTCATACCACCCATTTCAAACCACGTGATACATACGGTGATTTTTCCCGTGGCGCTGTTTGAACTTGTGTTCAGGCCGAGGTTCGAACCCGAGACTCATGCAAGGAACGTCGCTCAGTTGTGTCTTCATCTGTCGGTGTATGTGTGCGTGTAAGTAATAATATATATATTTTTTTCCCTCCTGGCAAAAGAGATGGCTGCCTGTGTGAAAGATGTGAGTGTCCGAGGTAGGCATATAAACCCTGTGTTAAAGAAGTACATGTCTGTCTAGACTATATTTATATATGTCACAACCCTAGTACCCGACTGAGTATTTTTATGTTACGTTAAATTTATTTACACATGTATGTTCATTTATGTATGTGTGTTTATACATTGTGTATAATGGATTGGATAATTGGCGCCACTGTGCGCTTTTCAAAACACTTTTTGCCTCGCACTAGCAACCTGTGGAACAAGTAATCGGCCGCGGTATTTTCGAACCGATATGACCTTCAAACCTTAAAGAAAAGAGCGTACTCCTTCCTCAAAGGCTGGCAACGCGCTTGTGACTCTTGAGTTGCAGGCGTTCATGGACGGCGGTAGTCGATTTCCATTAGATAACCCGTCTGCTCGTTTGCCACCTATTCCATAAAAAAAATACTTCTGGACTTCATCTATGTTAAATTTAATATTTTATAATGATCCTACTGCATCATATTTCTACAATACCTACATATGTCGACTGGGAAATAATGCGCCATAGAATTTAGTCCGCTTTTGTACAACATGTGCAACAAGTTTTAAATAAATATGGTTCCCGGAGTCCTCATTTTAGGTAAGCCTTTCTAAAAGATGCCTAATATGCCAACAATTTAGACAAACATTGACGCTGACCTTTTAAGTTGGCTTTATATTGAGCATATATGTTTTTTTTATCATCTTAGTTGTATTAGTAAAAAGACGTATTAGACGATTTATTTTTAATAAGCCAGAGGTATTTTTTCTAGTCAACCAGTTGCATTAGTTACGTATGCATAGTAAATACATAAGTCAATTTATGTCAAAAGCGGAGAATACATCATCTGCCTACCCTTTTCCCAACTTAATTTGGGGTCGGCGCAGTATGTATGATTTTTTCATTCTACTCTGTCATGCGTCATCTCACTGTTTACTCCCTTCCTAGCCATATCCTCCCTGACGCAGTCCATCCACCTCTTCTTCGGTCTGCCTCTTCTCTTATACCCTTCAACTCCCATACCTAAAACTTTCTTCGCCACATTTTCCTCATCCCTCCGCATGACATGTCCATACCAAGATAACCTATTACTTCTTAACTTTTCATCCAGGAGTTATTTGCAGGAACGTATTCTCCGCTTTTAATGCAGTAAAGCGGAGAATAAGTTCCTGCAAATAACTCCGATTCGAGTAGAATTCTGCTGTGCCTTAGGTCCCTATACTATACTATTTATACCTGAAGTTCTTTTTTTTCAGGCTCTTCTTTACTTTCCAAGAACGTGGAATCTGGCTCTACCCCATTTTTAAACAGCTATACGGAACAGTGTATTTCCCTCTCGCTCTAGGCTGCGTTGGATTTCTATTCTTCATCTTCTACTACTCACAATGGCCATTGACAAAGATGATACATGGATCCAAGAATAAGCAGCCGAAGAAGACACAGGCCGATAAAAAGAAGAAAAATAAATGACTTTTTATACTAAACAATTTTTATATCAAGAGTATTTTAAGGAATTATTTAATTTAATATATCTTAATTTATTTTTATGACGTTTTATTAATAATAACTCTTAAACTATTACGTTCCGTAATAAAAGATAATTATGTTTACGGGAATTAAACCCAAGTTTCACTGCAACCTGGTTGAAACGTCGTGTATTTCATAGGTGTGCTTAATACCTATCCTGAGCGCTTTATGATATTTGATGTGCTTACGGATAAATTTACAAAATACGTATGATGTTCATTTTCTAAGTGCCATTTACAAGCTTCCACAGAAACAAGATAGTGTTGATATCTAAAATAAATACTAAATAGACTAAGATATACCTTTTTTTTTTTTTTTTTTTTTTTTTTTCCGTGCGGAAGTTCCCTCGGATACCACCTGTCGCTGGCATGTCGGACCCGAACCGACTAAAACCGCACGCCTTCGCCGGGTACTAATAGCCGGGGAACCAGGTATACCCTAGAAAGGAAGTACCTGGTGCCCCGACATACCTCGGGTCATCTACAGACGAGTAGACGACCCCCCCCCGTGTGGGAACCCCATGTTCCCTGTGCTCCCTGGAAGCGAGCGCGCTTCGCAACGCGCTCGCCGCCACCCCGGCCTGCTTCTGCAAGGGTGACAGATGGCCTCACCTGTCACCCCCAGGCCTGCGCTTATGGAGGACGGAGGTCGTTCTGTCGCCTGCGCTGCCTGGCCCGTGCCCGGGCCTGGCGGGCCGGGAGAGTTCTAAACCTCTCCCGGTCCCGCTCCGCCGTCTCCTTCGCGAGCATAACTTGCTCGCAGAAGGAGACGGCAGAGTTCCACGCACTCTCGCTCCGCACGATAGCCACAATCAGGCTATCGAGCGAGAGAACTCCCACTCCGATGGCCGCCACGAGGTCTCGCCTCTGCTCAACCCACGCCGGGCACTCTGCCAGCGTGTGGAGAGCCGTGTCCACGGTCTGGCCATCGCAGTGGTGGCACTCAGGCGTTGGCTCCTTGCGGATCAGACACAGGTGATCTCCGAAACATCCCTTCCCAGTGATCACCTGCGTCAATCGGTATGAGAGGGTCCCGTGACGCCTCTCGAGCCAATCCTCCATAACGGGTCTTACCGCCGCAATGACGGCGTGCCCGGCGCTCGGTTGCCCGAGTCGTTCCCTCCACTCCCCTATGATGACCTGGCGGAGTTGGGATTTCCGGTCATCGAATTCTCGAATCTCGGGGCATCGACCCAACTCCTGCGCCTCCTTGCGCCACTGATACAGAGCCGCAAGGGCTCTCGCCTCCAGGTCCCACGGTGGAGTTCCGGCCAGGAGACTCGCCGCCTCAAAGGAGATCGTGCGGTACCCCCTTATGATCCAGATGGCCAGCATTCGCTGCGGTCGTCGCAGTATCGCGACGTTGCTGGCCTTCAGGGCCCCCGCCCATACTGGGCACCCGTAAAGGGCCATGGACCGCACAACCCCCGAGTAGAGTCTCCGGCAGGAGTCATCGGGTCCCTTCATGTTGGGCAGCAGCCGTGCCAACGCACGCGCTGCCCCAACCAACTTGGGGACCAGACCTCGGAAATGATATCCGAAGTCCCATCGGCCATCGAGTACGAGCCCCAGATACCTGATCGAGGGCTCGATGCCGATGCGAGTGCCTCCTACCGTGAGGCTAGATCCCTCAGGCGGCTTCCTCCGAAGCCCGTTGAAGCACAGGGCCTCGGACTTGTGCAGAGCCACCTCGAGACCCAGCCGCCGGATACGCTCAACGACTTGGGCAACCCCGGCCGTGGCCCTCAGGGTTGCCTCGTGGTGCGTCTTGCCGCGCGCGGTCACGAGTGTGTCGTCCGCGTAGCACACGACGGCGACACCATCCAAGAATGCACTGCAATTTGTGGATCACACAAAGTGTTGTCCCATGTGGGGTTTGAACCCACAACACTCGACGTAATAGGAAGCGGCGTGGCGACCGCTTAAACTACTACGCCATCCGTGCAGCATGAGTTTAATTATTTTTTATCGTCACACAGTCTTTTAGGATTTCTGTAATTATCTGGCTTGGAGAAATTCTAAGAAAGCTGGCTAGAAGCAAAGCTAAAGAAATTTTTGTGAAATGCCTTAGAATAAGATTATGATTTAAAAAAACATCTAAATCCTGGAATGATGATGATCACGAACGTCTTATAGTGGCACTCAATAAGAAGTATGAGCGGACTGGTGGAGAAGAAGTGTGTGTAATGTAAGATTGACTGATAGAATGAGGAATGACGAGGAAAGAAAACGTTGTGGGTTGACTGGAGAATGTCGGAAGATTGTGGAGCCAGTTTTCATATCACAATGAAAGTAATATTGTTATTTAGTAGTAAATTTAATAAAATTGTACAATTGATCCTCGATTTTGTAGTATAATACTTCAAGTTATTTTATTTATTTTATACAGTTAACACAACGTTACTTACAAATGTATAGACGTAAGAATCTGCGGTCTTATCGCTCACGGCGATCTCTTACAGACAACCTTGATACGGATATTAGATATTTAAAAAGTTGGGTAGTTCATATACACGTAACGCATTATCAGGTGAATATTTAAAAATATCAACAAAAGCATTCATACACAAATATACATCTGTTTACATTACACATAGATAAATACACATACATACATACATAACCAACAGTATTAAGAATGTCAAATAAAAATCCTTCATTAGGTTTTTGAGTGTTAGTGTTAGCTTTTGTCCGTGTGTGGTGACGGATTAAGAATACGGAGTGTCACCACCCCTATTCATCCCGTGGGTATTGTAAGAGCCGACTAAGGGAGCAAACTCAGCGGGACAACAGCACTGCAAAGAGAAGGAAAACTTGATACAAACCCTATACCAACCCGTCTGGCCAGCGTGGTATAGTAGTATCTCCTTTCCAAGGAGAGGTCTATGTCCAGCAGTGGACTATTAAAGGCTGTTGATGATGATGATGATAGCTTGATGAGGCAAGGTGTTAGCTTGTCAGTTTGTCAAAGGCAAGTTGTACCAAAGTCTTACTGCTTGCACAGTAAAAGATTTGTCTGCAAACTGGGTGGAATGTTGTGGCATTTTTAGTTTTAAATTCTCCGAAGACCTCAGGTCCCTGCAATGTGTAGTGTGTAAGAACTGAAACGTTTTTTGAGTGAAGAGTTATGTGACCATAAAGGTGGTAACTAAATCTAAATGTTTGGATTGAGAGGCCACGTCAGAACTAGGAACATGATGGATGAATATTTAGTTAGTAGACAAATTATGAGTTCAGTAGTGTTAAAATTTAAAACTTACCATACATTACATACGTGGCTCTTCAGACCATACATACAACTCGTCATTTTTCACAGAAGCAGTCTTCCAATTGATGCTTGATGATAGGTATAGTTGATTATTTATTATTCTTGAATATCAACAGTACTGGACTCAGATTTTTAGTAGGCACTATAGTGCCTACTAAAAATCTGAGTCCAGTACTGTTAATTATTGTGTATACACAATAATTACTACTTAATGATACAAAATTTTCAAAAACATTCCTTAAATACTATCTGTGTTCCAAGTGGTTCCTGAAAGTTTAGATTGAGGAAAGACTTTTACATTGATATAACTTCAAATATGCCTTACAACAAATCAGAATTGTTCCTACTAAATTATTTGATAACCTACAAAATAAGCTAGTGAATTTCCGCTCAAAATCTGAAGTGGTTCCTCAGTCCATACGGACATTAACAGTAACGAGCGAATGACTAAAATATTTTTAATGCCACTGCAAGTGGCATAGGCAGTACAGGCAGGCTGCGAAAGACACGCTGACCAAATCGGCAATATACTAAACTCTTGATGAATGTGGAAGAGGCTCGAGTACAGTACGAGACTATAGAATGTCATTTTCCATGATCCTGATGCATGTCAGGATCATGGAAAATGACGTTCTATAGTTCTACCTAACCCGGATGGGTTTCAGGCGTAAGTGTATGTTTTTCTCTATATTCTATATAGGAGTACGGTACTGCACCACATATGACTTCAGTCTAGCCCTCCAATAGGTCACATAGCTCTTACGCTGTTAAATGATACCACAAAACCATAATTTAAAAAAAATGAACTGGGCACCTGCCGCTTTAGGTAGGTAGCCGTTTTCACAATACCATTATAAATTGTAATTGTTATTTAATCGCATATGCCATTTATCTTTTGATTTAGGGCAAAGGCCCTAACAAAGCCCAAAACCGATTACAGGCGGATTTTGATAATCTTAAGGAATAGTGACTCAGACTTTAGCAAAATTAGAAATCCTTGAAAATGAATTCGAAACACTTCCCACAGTACAAGCGGCGGAGAACGCAGAACGAAGCTACATATTTATGCTCCTAAATATCGATTATTTTAATCGGGTGACTACGATCGAATAACTATTGACACTGTTGTAGTAAACATAAGGTCATCGGGTCAATAAGTGAATAATGCATAGGTTTACAATAATCGCTAAATCCATACTTTCATACTAATATTATAAATGCGAAAGTGTGTCTGTCTGTCTTTCTATCTTTTTTTTTAAATGCCTACTAGCAACCGAAATTACTAGTATTCCCGTTAACCCCTCCAGCTAAGCCAAATTGCTTGTGTTAGGAGTGGGTTCACATCGGTAGTGTACTGGTTAGGATTCGAACCCACGACCTCTTGAATCCAATCCCTTAACCAGTAGGCTACCGCCGCTTGATCTACGCTTGAGTCTGTTACGCTTCATGCCTAAACTGCTAGAAAGATAGTTTGAGTCCCGGGAAATTATATAGGACAGGATAGATTTTATACTAGAAATTATATTTTAAGGGGGTAGAAGTTTGTATGGGGAATCAATAACCGCTTAACCGATTCAGATGAAATTTGGTATGAAAACAGTTTGATTCTTGAGAACGCGCATACGCTTTTTACCGCGAAAACCGACATACACGCGGGCGGAACCGCTTGCTAAAGCTAGTTAGTAAATAAATCGACTAATTAGATATAACATATTGTGTCAAGGTCACGACACGGTCAATTAAATGATATGCAGTATAATAACTAAAATTTTATCTTCGCTTATCGTTTACATAGATAAAGATTTATTCACAACCGTTTGGTTGTGAATAAATTGTAGTATTCTGTTAATATAACTGTGGTGTGGTTGTATCATACGGTGTGTGTTATCAAGTGTTTATTTGTGTTATTAATTGGTGACGGATTATATTATTTATTGGTAAGTTTGTATTACAGTAAGTTGTAAGTGATTTACAGTACAGTAATAATAATAATGATATATCTCACACATCTCACACACGGCTGTTTGATCCCAAACTAGGCAGAGCCTGTACTATGGTAACCAGACTGCTGATAAACATACTTATATATTTTTAAATAGATACAAATTATAGATAAATTACACCCAGACATAGAACAAATGACCAATATTTGTCCTGGGTGGGAACCGAACCCACGACCTCCGGTTTAACAGTCAGGGTCACTAACCACTAGACCAACAGGCCCGTCAATAATACAGTAATATAGTTATTAGTGGGTATATTTAGATTTTTTGTAATATTATAGAAAAAAACGTTATGTTTATGCGTGTGGTGATGGATTAAGAATACGGAGTGTTACCGCCGCTATACATTCCAGTGGGTGTCGTAAGAGTCGACTAAGGAAGCAAACTATACACGACAACAGCATTGCAAACTCAGTATTAACCTATCTGGCCAGCGTGGTATAGTAGGCCAAAACCTCCTTTCTAAGGAAAGGCCTATGTCTAGCAGTGGACTGTTAAAGGCTGTTTGATGATGATAGAAAAAAACTATGTTTTTGGTTTGTAGTTGAACTGTTAAACTGCAATATAGATTTTATAAGGATGTTGTTATATTATTTTACTCCCTTAGGATATTTCTAAAACTTCTTTAATTGTAGTTGCCTACAATGTAAAAGACATCAGCCAAAATTTCAAGTTTGTAGCCCCAGCGGTTCAGGCTCTGCGCTGATGAATCAGTCAGTCAGGGCAAGTTTATTTGTATGGATATAATCATCTAATAAATTAAAATAGTTTTTTTCAGACCCCAAAATCTGCCTTCTAAGGAGAGGCCTATGACCAGCAGGGGATGTTAAGGCTGTTGACGATGATGATGACGAACCTCACTAATTCGGAGTCGGAGAAAAGCAACGAGACCGCTGTATCACTCCGGTTACTCCGGCCCATTTGTGCCTTGGCCATACCTCTATCCGAACGGACTATTGTCGTAAAGTCTTAGGGCCAGCGCAGACCGAGAAGAGCTCAGCGGAGAGGATTTTTTTAGGACACTCGAAAATGAACTTTAAACCATGAACATAAAGTGCATACATTTTTGAACATGACATAAAATGCTCGCGCGGCCTCGAGCCATGTGTATGCACTTTATAATATTAGTTTTTAAGTTTATTTTCGAGTGTCCTGTCCTGTCGGTTTACGCTAGCCCTTAGCCTTACCGAACAAGTTACACCAACCAATTAAAGCAACTAATTAATTATTATTGTACAAATTTAACTATCACACGATTTAAAGTTACAGTAAAACAATGTATCATTAAACTATGTGCCGTAATTTTGGTGTAATAAGATTCAAAACACGTCACTCCAAGTGCAGAACCGGTTTTATCGCAGTGAGTTGTTCTAACCACAAGTCGGGTATATTACAATAGTTAGTTGTCTTATTGTATTCATGAGTGAAGTCACAACTTGTTTGTTTCAATGTAAGTTGGACGAATAAATATTTTGTTGTTCGGTGTATACTACAGTTGCAAGTCTTCAGGTAAATTCTAAATTATTTACTTAGTATAAACCGCTTCACACTTCGTTCTGTTAACTCTTAAATTACGCAACCAATTATGCTTCCATTTTCCCTATAACTTATATAGGAATTTTTCGAGGAAGGGTTATATGTTACGCTTCCACGCCCAAACTTCTAAACCGATTTTAGAAATTCTTACACCAATGGAAAGCTAAATTATCAGTGAGTAACATAGGCCACTTTTTTACTACAATAACCGACATACAAACAAACACAGACCAAAGCTGGTACATATATAATAAAACCTAATTAAGTTGTTTTTTGACTTAGACTTTACAAATATATAAACAAACGTACGTTTCTTTAGAGATATAGGTAGCCAGGTTTATGGCAATAGGATGACCCTACTATGTAAGTGACACTAAAAATGTGGGAGTTTCAATACGCTTCCATCTTTATTAGTATGAGTGTATTTATCTAAGTATGCAATTAAGTTTTTAGTGAAGTGGATAAAAAAAAAGGTTTTGGAAGCAAGTGGTCGAAAAATAAATGTACATGGCTCACTAACCTTTAGAAATACCAAAAATTTCAAGATTTTATATTACCACCTTGTCGGCGTGATCAGTATGCAAACAACAAATTTGAAAAATCGCCATTTCGAAATACCCTAGCGAGTGTTAAATTTTATACAGACGGTTCAGCTTTATGTTCCACTTGTACTAGCCAAAAATCTGACGATAATTTTGGAGGGTATTTTAAATCTGACGGTTAGAAATATATTGGTTTCTTGATTTTTTTATAAAATGTGACAAATAAAGGCACGAAAAATTATGTAGACATTTAAAGAAGATCTCTTTCTTGATTATGTGTATTTTTTTGGAACTTTGTTCCCACTGCTTTACATTACGCTCCAATCGTCTGGTTTGTTTAAATACACACTAACGTGTATGTAATTGACTTAACTTACCTTAATCTTACACGCTTGAGTGTTTCTAGCCATCGTTTTTTTTACTAATCTGATGTACTGCCCTAGACGCTCCCTCATATGTGTAGGGCTCATGTATGGTGGAGGCAGTCAACTGGGTGTAAGGAATTCCTCCCATGTTAATTTGAATCGAATCCGAGACCTCAGCACAGCAGTCGCATACGCTACCACTGCACCACGGTATCAGTCAATCTAGTTTACACGTTAAGAAATGAGGAACGAAACTGACGTGAAAATAGATGGAAATTATTATTAATTGTCGCGGGTTGTATTCGTATATCATGTCAAAATTTGAGCTATATATATATGAATGTGGTACTAAATGTAACCTTAAAATGTATCTTAAATATCATTGAAATCCTTCCTTTCCTTCTTTATTATTGAATAATATCTGGTTTCTTTTCCAGTGAGATGTTTCAACATACACAACTACGCATAGTGGGTTATACGGCTATTTTAGTAATACATACCACAAATGTCTTCTATATGAATTGGCATACAAAGGGTGTACATACTAAAGACGAAAGGGTTTTAGTATTTAAGGGCCTGGACAATAGATTCTTGACCACATGGAATTTTGTAAGTCATTTTTTTTTGTTCATAGAATTAATTACCAATTTCTGAATGTGTGTTAAGGTGTCACTTCAGAACAACGGCACATTTTTATTGCAAATTCTTTTTGTTGTGATAGAAATTATCAGGGCAAGCATTATGAAATATACTTTTTTTATGATATATGGGCAAACGAACAGACAGGTCACTTGATGGTGGTCTTGTCACTTGCAGTTCAAGAGTTTGAAGTCCGTTGCAGGATTTTGAGTGCCCATTGCTCATAAATAGGATCAAGAGAAAGGGTAAGGGACGATTGTTCCTTCTGTAACTTTATTTCAATTCGAGAAGCATCACGGAACCTTCTCATACCGGTGATCACCTTTAAAGGATGCTTCGGAGATCACCTGTGTCTGATCCGCAAGGAGTCATGAGTGCCACCACTGCAATCGCCGGATCGTGGACACGCGCTGGCTGAATGCCCGGCGTGTGTGGGGCAGAGGCGTTGCCTCGTAGCGGCCATCGGAGTGGGAATTATCTCGCTTGGTAACATGATTGCTGCCACGGTGCGGAGAGAGAGAGTGAGAGAGTGCTTATAACTACGCCGCCTCCGTCTGCGAGCAAGTTATGGTTTCAAAGTAGATGGCGAAGCTGGACCGGGAAAGGTTTAGAACAGGCGCAGGCCTGGGATTGATAGGCGAGGCCATCTGTCACCCTGGCAGAAGAAGGCCGGCCAAAGATGAGTGGTATCCGTGGGGATTTCCTTACAGAAAAAGGGTGCACTAGATATTAAGAGAAGAATCGTAGTTGAGAAGATGGACAGTAACAGTGGGATAGATATACATACATACTGAAATACACATACATATAAACTTGCTAAGTTACACACACATATTATATGCACTTTACTGACTTGGTTGAATGGTGCCACACAAATCGAATTCGATATTTCAACATTTGTTAAGTTTGGGCACTTGTTTTATATAACATCTATATAACATATTTTTTGAAGAAAAAAATAGAAAACATGTAAAGAGGAGATTTGATCTCATTTTTTAAATACACCGCAAGACGCCGGGACGAGCAGTTAGTAAATACAGAACAGTCAGTTCGAGTTACAGTTTTCCCACGGTTTTCCTTTTTTACAACGAGTGATCTACTTGCGCCTGCGACCTACGACTTAACACATCTACGAGTACCTTAACCAGGCCTGTTAGTTAGTGACCCTAACTGCTAAGCTAAAGGTTGTTGGTTCGATTCCCATCCAGGCCAAACAATTGTGTGATGAGTACGGTCATTTATTCTGTGTAATTTATCTATGGAAAAAACGGAGCTGTGTGATCTGATGGATCGAGATTGAGACACCTTTGTTCTTTTGCAGATGCTACAAACAGCTTACGCCATCTTCGGTTTATTATGCGATGTCTACGTATTGAAGAATTCCCGTAAACAATTATGTAGTCTGCCAAGCTATATTGCTGAACTTAGGGAGATCATGTTTTCGGCTATAGTTTGGCCTTCGACTTGGGTAAGTTCATCCAAAAAAACTACAAAGTACTGTTATTCAACTTATATTATAGAAGCGAATGTGACAGTATTTTGGAATACGGTTTTTAGTCGATTCGAGTCTGACATAAGCGCAACTACTCCACCGGTGGGTGGTATCGGGGGTGTATGATGTATATAATATTTTTTTTGTTATTTCCAGCTAGTATTCACAGTATTCTGGGGTTTGTACAACTATGACAGATCATTAATATTCCCGGAGTACTTGGACCCGTTCCTACCAAGGGTGTCCAACCATGTGATACATACTCTAATTGCGCCCATCGTGCTGTTTGAAATTATATCCAGGCCGAGAATCGAACCCAGTACCCATTTAAAGAATTTGATAATAACGAGTTTATACATATGTTCTTATCTGTTGGTGTAAGTATGGATATGACTTCGAATAAAAAAATAAAATTCTTGTTTGTTTTTGAAAATTAGTTTAGTAGAATCGAACTGGAATCATGACACAACACAGTTCGGAGGTGGAGAGCTATGCTTCGATGCATATGCATATAAAACCGATGTTATGCAATTTTTTCCGTGCATTTCACCGAGTGTCCGTGTGGTGACAGATTAAGAATACAGAGTGTCACCACCGCTATTCATCCCATCTTAAGAGCCTATTAAGGGAGCTAAACTACCTAAACTACGCAGGACAACAGCACTGTAGAGAGAAGGAAAACCCTATACCAATCCGTCTGGCAAGAGTGGAATAGTAGGCCAAAACCTCCTTTCTAAGGAGAGGCCTATGTCCAGCAGTGGACTATTAAAGGTTGAGATGTTAAAGGCTGTTGATTTCACCGAGTGAGTGGGGTTACCGTAGGACGCTAATTTCAGGAGGGGGATCTCAGAGATCCACAAAGCACTTGTCTCTTGACTCAAGAGTCATACGAGCGCCAATGGACTACTGTAACTTAAGTCTTGAGATGCAGCTGTCCATGGGCAGCGGTTGACTAAATGCCATTAAAAAAAAAAATTGGCATTCCTTGAGTGCTGACAGAAGTGAAAACTTATATATAGAGGTGTCGGTTCAAAGTTAGAAACACGAAATAAGGCCTAATCAGGGAAGGGAATATAATGATTAACAAAAGTGTTATTTATTTGCAGGATGTTATTGACCTACAAAGAAAGGAATGTTTGGCTTTATCCAGTATTTGGGCTACTCTACGGTAGCGTATACTTTGTGCTATTAGTGATAGGCATTTATGGTTTAGCAATTGGCTTCTACATGGTGCAGTGGCCTATAAGTAGGATGATATGCTTGAAAGGAACAAAGAAGAATAGGCAGATACAGAAACGGAAGAAACGTGTTTGATATTTTGTTTTAAGTATTTGGGTCTTCTAAGTTTTTTTAATGAAAGTCGAATAATTAAATTTATGTTCTTTTTATACAGTTTGTTTTTTATTTCCATTTACTGAAATCACGTCTACGTGGGAATGTGACGTGGTGGTATGGTAAAAATAAAACAGAACAATGATACAGCAACAATATGTGTTTAATTTTTTCCATACGATGTTTTTTGTCGGGACTGTTGGTACATTGGTTAGTGACCCTGACTTTAAAGCCGAAGGTCGTGGGTTCCATTCCCAACCAGGACAAATATCAATTATTTGTCCTGGTTGAGAATGGTGATGAGCGTGATCATTTATTTTTGGGTGTAATTTATCTATAATATGTAAGTATTTCATCATCATCATCATCATCAACAGCCTATACTAGTCCACTGCTGGACATAGGCCTCTCCTTAGAAAGTAAGGAAGTATTTAGAAATATTTTATTATGTTTATTAGTCTGGCTACCATAGTACAGGCTCTGCCTAGTTTGGGATCAGACAGCCGTGTGTGAGATGTGTAAAACTATTATTTTTATTATTACAACAAGAGTGACTGCACGGATGGCGTAGTGGTTTAAGCGGTCGCCACGCCGCTTCCTACTACGCCGAGTGTTGTGGGTTCAAACCCCACATGGGACGACACTTTGTGTGATCCACAAATTGTTGTTCCAAGTCTGGGTGTTATTTGTGTCCGTTTCATGTATGTTTGTAAAGTCCCCCGCGACACAGGATATTTTCCTAATGCGGAAGTTGTCTTTTTAAAAAAAAAAAAAAAAAAATTATTAAGTAAATACAAACTACGCAGTTTTATATATACAAAAAATATATATTTATTTATATATTCATAGAAATCCATACAAATGTAATAAAATAATTATTTGGTTAAGCTGAAGTAAAGAAAATAATGAAGCATGATAATTTTTTGTTTAAAGTTCTTTGCGAAAACGTTGTTCAGCTGTCTACATGTATTTTCATCAAGTCTCTTCAGTCAGTCAGGTAAAAACGGGGAATCTCGTCAAGTAAATTTTTCATTTTCGAAATGATGGGTACAAAAAGGATTATGATAGAATCTTATGGTTAAATAGGCACAAGATTCAAACAACGCTTATGGACAAGAGTCACATCCACAGCCTTTAATAGTCCACTGTTGGACATAGGCCTCGCCTTAGAAATGCGGTTTTACCTACTTATTGAGAATCACCATAACAATTGGGAACCTCCTTCCTTTTTAAGTCGGTAAACAAATATTAATAGTGTATTCTGACAGTGACAATTCCATAGCAGCCTTAATCAGTTAGTATTTTTTTTTATTCTTTTTTATTTAGGGGCTTGAGAGACACACATAAGACCATGTCAGCCCCATCGTACCCTAAACTTACAATGTACTAATCTTTAAATTTAACTTAAGTATATAGAATATACTGCTATTAATAATACAGGGATATAAACTACAGTTCAAATAATTTATAAACTAACAACGCCGCTTCTGACAGAGGCTTTGACAATATACTTTGAAACATACCAACATCTATAATATTAATTTTTAGCCTATTTACCAGAGCCTCTCTCTCAGCCCTAGTTTTGACACACTCCATCAAAAAATGATAGACGTCCTCAACAATACCGCATTCTTCACAATTTGGGCTGGTACTTATGCCCATAAGATGTCGAAACTTGTACAGTGGGACGTGTCCAGATCGTAGTCTATGAGCTATTACAATATATTTCCTATTAATAATTCTGTTGGCAATAGTTAGAATTATAATTAAAAATTTTCATTTTCATTATTTAACTACATCATTATCATTATTAATTAATATTTGACCAACAATTTTAATTGTCGTTAATGATCTACTCTGTTGTTTTCCACCTCTGTCGATTTTTTTCGCATTAACGTCACTAACAGGTCTAACAGGGAGAAGATGACGAATTATAAAACACTAGATTTTGCCGGCGGCTCCGCCCGCGTGTGTGTCGGTTATCGCAGTAAAAAGTAGTCTGTCTTTCCTCAAAAAACAAAGTATTTTCATACCAAGTTTAATTTAAACCGATTCAGCGGTTATTTTTTTTTTTTTTTATTTTAAAAAGACAACGCCCGCATTAGGAATAAATCCTGTGTCGCGGGGGACTTTACAAACATACATGAAACGGACACAAAGAACACCCAGACTCAGAACAACAATTTGTGGATCACACAAAGTGTCGTCCCATGTGGGGTTTGAACCCACAACACTCGGCGTAGTAGGAAGCGGCGTGGCGACCGCTTAAACCACTACGCCATCCGTGCATCCGCCATCCATTCCCCATACAAAGTTCCACCTGCCTTTTAACTCTCTTGGGTGATAATTGGGATAAAAGCTACCCTTTGTCCCTTCCAATTTCATCTAAATCGGTTCAGCGGTTCGTGAAGAGGTAACAGACAGACACACTTTCGCATTTATAATATTAGTATGGATATACAAATGGGCAGGCTCGACCGGAGTGATACCACGGCTTCACAGAAAACCGGTTAAGCAGTTCTTTCCTTATTCTTCACCGAGTTATTGAGGTTACCGGAGTTTGTTTGCTCTTTCTTCTCATAAGGCTCAACCCTTGGAAATGGGCGCTTATAGATGGGCACAGGCAATGAATATATTTCCGATATTATTTTATTATATTTATTTTACTAAATATTTGCCGAACCAGAAATTGTTGCTATTGTGTGTGTGGATCCATGACTTTAGTCTACATAAAATAGGATTTCAAACAGTTTAATAATCAAAATCAAAATCATTTATTATTTGCATAAAACAGGTATAAAGGTGGTAGAAGAACATCATATAATACATAGGTACGCTGTAATATAACCTCTTAAAGGTGTGCAAATATTTAGTCATAGATATTTAAAAGATTATTATTTAGACGTTCAACATTAGAAATACAATTTGAAGAATATATTCATATCATAAATTTATTGAGAGAATTAATAATGTCAAGAGTATTATGAATGCTGTTAAGTCAGATCAATGTAATAAAACCAAAAAAATAAAAAAATCAAACAACAATAATAATCAAATAGTCAAAATAATAAAATGTCACATCGTCATGTTCAACATAAATTAAATAACTATGAACGAAATTAATTTGATTTACAATTCGTCTTGCAGAAAATCATTTACATTATAATAGCATTTTTGGCTAAGAATTTTTTTTAATGTCTGTTTAAAGATAGTGGTATTTGACTCCTTTATATTCCTAGATAATTTATTATATATTTTTGGAGCCATGGCGAAAACACTATTATGCATTAGAGCAGTGTTTGATTTACACAGGCATAGCCGGGATTTATCTCTTTGCATTCGGTCATACGCGTCAGAAGACAAAACTAATAAATTAGGATTTAGTTTGGCAAACATAGCTACCTCGAGTATATAAATGGATGGTAGTATCAAAATATTATATTTTTATAATAGGGCAGGCAGCTGTCGGTTGATTTTAGAGAGAACATTGCCCTCACACAACGTTTCTGTACCTTGAATACTTTATCTTTATGTACAGAGTTACCCCAGAAAATTATACCAAACCTAAGAACTGACGCCGCCATACCATGGTATGCAGTCAGAAGTGCATGAGTATTAATTACTTGTGATAATTCATGAAGTGCATACACTGATTTACTGACCCTCTTGCATATTTGTTCTACCTGTTGTTTCCATGTTAAGTTATTGTCTATTATTACACCTTTTTTTTTTCCGTGCGGAAATCCCCTCGGATACCACCTGTCGGTGGCATGTCGGACTCGAACCGACTAAAACCGCACGCCGTCTCGGGTACTAATAGCCGGGGAACCAGGTATACCCTAGAAAGGAAGTCCCTGGTACCCCGACATACCTCGGGTCATCTACAGACGAGTAGACGACCCCCCCCCCCCCCCCCCGTGTGGGAACCCCATGTTCCCTGTGCTCCCTGGAAGCGAGCGCGCTTCGCAACGCGCTCGCCGCCACCCCGGCCTGCTTCTGCTAGGGTGACAGATGGCCTCACCTGGCACCCCAGGCCTGCACTTATGGAGGACGGAGGTCGTTCTGCGACCTCCGGCGCCTGAGTCGCCTGCGGTACCTGGCCCGTTCCCGGGCCTGGCGGGCCGGGAGAGTCCTAAACCTCTCCCGGTCCCACTCCGCGAATTTTTTTTGTGGAATCTACTTCATTTAAAGATTGGCCGTTAGCGCATATCTGTAGGTTTTTAAGACTAGGAATACGCTGACTAAAATGCATGAGCATTGTTTTTCCTATGTTAGCTCTTAAATTATTTACATTTAGCCTTACTTAGTAGAGTATCATGACTTACATGATCAAATGCTTGGGTCAAATCCATATATATGTATTGTCAACATTTTTCATTACAAATACAAGAAAATCATATATGGCCATGGCATGGCTGGCAATTATAATGAAATAAATATATTCTGAGTTTCAGTTTGGAACATCCCCCCCCCCCTCCTTACACTGATTCGCGTGATGCAATTGTGACTCCTAAGTTGCGGGTGTAATGGGCGACGATAGCCATTTACCGTTAGGTGATCCGTCTACCTGCCATATAAAAATTACAAAAGGAATTTAAAATTATAGCCTTTTAAAATTAACCTTTCAAGTTACGTAGTATTGTCATGGTAACACCAGTGTTCATAGAATATATTATCATTTATCACCGATACATACTTATCAAATAAACGTGCAACACATGTTATAGATAGATAGAGATAAGAAGATAAATCACGAACTTGATATGTTCTATATTCAGCTGCTACTTAGTTTACTTCGGATATAGCACGTTCGATGCCCGTTCAATATTTGTATTGTGACTAATTCCAAAATTTACTGGAGTACCATCCAATGGTCCAATCCAATATCGAATTATGGAGTACTGACTAGGCCTACATCACACAATGAAGTTCTCGCAGATGCATATGTTACAGTCAGAATTCCTAACCGGTCAAAAGTAATT